GCATGTGAGTTCGCGTTGCACCTTCTCGGTCGCGAAATTTGAATTTACGCGCTCGCGATTTCACTGAAACTCTCTGACTCTTATTTGGCAACTCCTCGCGCTCGCGACTTTCAAGTACGCGCTCGCCGGATTGTGCTACCGCCAACCTCTCTCGCGGACTCTCATTTGCGCATTTCTCGCGCTCGCGATTTGCAAAAGTGGGCTCGCGTACTTGGCCCTTGGACCTGTAATCGCGCGCGACCCTTATCGGCGCGCTCCGCGATTTTGCCTTGGGAACTCACTGTCTCTCCATTTTTGCCTCTCCACGCGCTCGCGACTTTGAGTACAGCGGCTCCGCGACTTGTTGACGATAACTCACTGTCTATATTGGTTGTTCTTACGCGGCTCGCGACTTGCAGGCGCGCTTCCGATTTGTGTTTTTCATGCATTTTTGGGACTTATATTTCAATGCAATTGTATTCCTTTTGCTTCACTTAATTGCCTCCATATCTTTAATTACAAAATACATTAAATCAATGTATTAAACAACATTCAAGATGCAATTGATGTGAAATCAAATGAACAACTTATGGCATTATGAGTTATGACTATTATTATGAGTGTTGTGTGTATTTTGACATTACCAACATTATTGCTCCATTGAGGTTAGTAGACATGTGATAAGGCTATGTCGCGACATAGGATAGCAGATCTGCCGCCCCATCAGTTTCGGTACTCGGCTACGGCCGTTGAGTGGTAATATTATAACAGCCCATAGCAGCCAGCATAACAATTTCATCCAGTTTCATAAGTTTCCCTTATACTCGGTTTCACATAATACCTCTCTGGAGCATCAGATATCTTGGACATAACTTTCATGAATTTTACGAAGTCATTATAAAAGTATAAAAGATAATCAAGGATATCATTGAAAGTATCATGAATGTGTTGCTTATATGTTAGCCATATGTGTTTACATGTTCTTTTCTATACATGTTATGTGCTTTAATTGTTTCTTTATATGTTGAGGCATATCCATGAAGCTTTATTTGCCTCAGCGACGTTACTGTTTAATCGCAGGTTTTGAGATTGGACCGTTAGGAGTCGCTTACAACCTGCTGCAGGTTCATCTGTGAAGACTCAGTCTTTCGGGTAGCTACTCATTTTTAATACTGTATCTTGTGTCTATCTTTTCATGGCATGTACAGGGCAACACAGTTGGGCCCATTTTCATTTTGTCATAGTAATCATGTTTTGTAATATAAATTACATGTCTTTTGTATACAACATCAGTATGATATTATATTCAGGTTATACATTATGTTCAGCAATATCAGGGCCATTATGATTTCAGCATATCAGGCCATACAGTCAACCAGTTTGTAACGTCTCGACTCGGTTTATTCGGGTTTACGGGTGGACCGGGAAGGGATGTTACAGTCTTCCTTCATATGTTAGGTGGAGACAAGTTTTTAATTTTTTGAAAGACAAAATTTAGAAGAGAGTGAATAGTTGGTCCAATGGATTTTTATCATGGGCGGGTCGGGAGGTGCTCATTAAATCTATTATTCAAGCAATTCTTACATATTGTTTGAGTATTTTTGAATTACCCCTAGGTCTGCATGATGCAATTCAAAAAATCATAAATAGGATAAATGAGGTGGGAAGGAGGGAGGAAGAGGGATTCACTGGCTTTCTTGGGATAGGATGAATGGGAGAAAAGGGAAGGGGGTATGGGTTTTAGAGATCTCTGGTGTTTTAATCTAGCTATGTTAGGTAAGCAAGGTTGGCGACTAATTACTAACTTGAATACCCTGTTTTATAAAATCTTCAAAGCTAAATATTTTCCAGATAGAGAATTTTTAAATGTGAAACTTGGGAATAATCCCAGTTTTGTGTGGAAGTGTATTTTATCAACTAATATAATGTTAAAACACAGGGTGAGATTGAGGGTAGGGGATGGGGAAAGTACTTTGGTTAGGAGTGATCATTGATTGCCAGTAGTAGGTCCTTTTATGAGGAGGATGGTGCGAATTTCATTAATCCAGGAATGCGAGCCAAGGAATTATTTAGGGAAGGGGAGAGAAGATAGGATGTGGAATTGCTTATGGAACTTTTTAGTGCCAGAGATATTCAAACCATTATCAATACCCCTCTTAGTATAGGGAATACAAGGGATTGAATGGTATGTCATTTTGAAAAGAGAGTTAATTACAGTGTTAGATCTAGCTACTATCTTGCACTTCGAGTTTTGGGAAAGGAAGCTAGTAGGATTGATAGGGTAGGTTGGGATAAGGTTTGGAAGTTGAATGTGCCTCCTAAAATAAGGGATTTCACGTGGAGAAGCTTGAGGAATATTTTGCAACAAGAGATAGGTTAAAATGGAAAGGCATAAATATTGATGGGAGATGTCCTTTTTGTCAAGAGGAGGAGGATGTGAATGATGCCCTTGTTCTATGTGAGAGAGCTAAAGGGGTGTGGAGGTTTAGAGGGGTGCGTGTGCCTACAACTAATGCTACTTTTTTAGACTTCTTTTTTCCTTAAGGTAATGATTTGCATTATTTATTTAAAAAAAAATATTCAAAGATAGAATTGACTAGTGCATATGCTACAGTGCAAGAGTAAATAGTAATTTGCTCTTTTTTTTAGAAAAATATATATTTTGTAAATCCTCTAATTTTCGTAGTTGATCTAACCAAGTTTTGAAATCTAATCCAGTCATCGATAGGTGAAAGCAAAAGATCAAGGATTAAAGGGTCCAAATGGAATCAAACTAGCCTTTAATTAAATTCAGTATGTGTTAAATAATCTATAGACTAATTTATAATTAATAAGTTTAACTAGATATATATTTTTAAAAAAATTATTTTCTCTAAACAGATAAATGTAACTTTGAAATTTTTAAATATTTTCCAATTTGCAAAATACTAATATCTATTTATATATATTTAGATTGGGCTCAACCATTCCGGATACCCTTAACTTTAAGACTTGTAATAATTGCTCCCTAAAATGAACTTAACCCCCAGACACCCTAATTTTAAACTCGTGTAAACCCTAATTATAAATTCAGTGAAAATTGATGTAATAGACATGGGACCCATATGAGTTAGTTAACCCACCTTTGGTAGGGTTACTAAAACGCACCGTGTATGAGTACAGAAGTTTAACTCATCTCAGTCTTCATGTGCAATTTGTTCTCTCTCACTATAGCTGACAATGACGTCTCCCTCCATAAGCTCTTCATCTGGGGACTTTCCTTTGATATCACTATCGAGACTATCCATACTCTCTCTCTCTCTTATTTGCTCACCAAAATTTTTTTTCTTAAAACCCATCTCGCACTCCCACATTTCGCCAATCATTTGCATAAATCGCATCAATTATTGCAAAATCTTTCATCTCAAAAACCATTCTTAATACTCCAAACTTTACGGATCGTTACAATTGTACTCCAAAATGAACTTAACCTCTAAAATACCCCAATTTCAAACTTATGTTGTAATTGAACCCTAGAAACTAAATTGGTCAAAATTGATATTAAAAATAATAAATGGGGGACCCACCCATTAACTAACCCAACATGAGTCACCTTTATGCAAAACAAACAGTTTCACTCAAAATTAACTAACCCTCTCTCCTCCATGCTTCATGACCATCTATCTTAGTCATAACAAGTCTACAACAAGAATAATACTCAGAGCCCCCTTTACTAGATAAACAAATATGATTGATTCAATATGCATATCACCAAATCATCAACAAGAAACCTCAAGTTTCTTCATTTTCCATAAATTAATGAAACAAAACAAAAAAACCTCAACTCTCTTTATTATCCACGAATTAATGAAACAAATTTGCATTTGCAAGTAATTTATTAAAAATGAAGTTTAAAATAGAAATTGCTGCCTCCCTTTTTGTTTTTCTCTGTTAGTTTGTAGCCTTTTAATAGCCTTCAAAATCACAAACACAAATGGACAAAAAATCTAAATTTCTAAAATAATCGCAAACCTGCCTAAGTTTGATAATAATGCATATTAACATCAAGTAAAAGGGATGGAAAATAACCTCTGAAAGTCAAGAATAAAATACAGAGTTTTCAACTCTCTGATTCCTATTTCTATTTTGTTTTCTGGTTGGATTAATTTATTGCCGCCTCCTTCCTACATCACAAGAACACCCGCTCAGTGGATTGAAGTTAAGTTTTGTCAATCGGAATCATCATTGGGTTAAGATATAGCTTATTTATGGTATACATGTTACTTTCTCTTAGATTTCTGAACTAGAGGAATATATGGAAAAAGAGAAAAATTAATTGCCAAATGTTCGAGGAATTTACTTGACATCCAATTATTTTATATTCTATGAATAGTTATTTAGACCAAGTAAATAAATATACTCTTGTTTTTTCAATTTTCTGTGTTTATTAATTTTTTTTATAAATTAAATTATTCTTTTCAAAATGTAGGGATGATCTACATCTAACTAATAGTAGCTACAAGTTTACATTTTAGGAAGTGGTGGTGAAATTGACTCAAGATCCACTTAACATATTTCTAAATTAATCAAAATCATTGTGTAATAGGATCTTCTTTTATTCTAATTTCCAGTTCAATTATTTGTCTGGACAAGAGGTTTGAATCTGAACAAGGACTGAGTTATACTGAGTTCACATACCAACTTTTGCAAGGTTATAACTTTTTTTACCTTTCTAAAAATGAGGGTGTTATTGTTCAGATTGGAGAGAGTGACCAATGGGGTAATATAACTAATTAACTATCAGGACTAAATGTCACAACCCATTACCTTGGGTCAGACCGGCACTAGGACCTGAGTAGGCTTAAAGCCACCAAAACCTATAGTAAACCAAAAATATACCAAACAAACTTCGTGTTCAATAAAAATGGCTCAAGCTCAATATCATCAACATTCAAATATCATATTCATTAAAAGATTAATTTTCAAAGCTCTCTAGGCCCGCATCAATATATTACATGATGGAAACTTTAACAAGTAATACATAAAAAAAAAACTCTAAGTTTATTATTCTTGACTATCGTAAGAACTTAACATTTCAAAACATTTATTGAGTTATCTTTTAGGCTTCTAGAGATAGAGGAGAACGAGTTATTCGAGGATCTGTAACCTGAAAAAAATAATAAGGCAAGGATGAGTGCATAAACTTAGTGAGTAAGGTTTGATAACCCTCTCAACCCACACAATCATACAAATGCATATATAAGTCAATCTAGTCATCCGACTAGTTTTATGATTATGTAGTCAATCACACAAACGGCATAGCAATAACAATCATAAATATTAGCACCTTCACATAATCACATCAAGTGGAGATTGGTCACTAGCGTCACCAAAATCTCCGACGAGCCGTTCTAATACATGGCCCCCTCTCATCATGTGTGCACCAGGGAGCCGATCCCCTTATATGGCCGACCTGTCTCAACCTCACTTGACTAGCCCTCTCATTTTTTTTATACTCTCTTTTCTTTTCCATACCAACAGGAGGCCATCCTGTGGTTTTTCTATATAATCCATTTCATATTCCATTAGATGCACATGGGGGCGCTGATCTCTCCATACATGGTTGACGATATCATAGACTGCCCTCACAAATTCAACGGTGAGCCACTTCATTCCAATTCCATACAATCAAGGCACACACATATATATAGTAAACCACAATTAATTAATCAAAGTCCATTAACAACAAGTAATAACAATTTCTCAAATAATGCATTTATACTTAGGTGGCATTTCTGTATTATGTATTGATGCACAATATTTATCCGTGTATGGATGCATGCAGATGCAATGGGCAATACAAGTTATGTAACACTACTTATAGTTCTAGATTGTCCTTAACAGGACTATTTTTTTTATTTCACTACAAAAAAATGGCATTTTGCGATTGACGTATCGGTCGCAAAATGCAAGAAATCGATCGCTAAGTTTGCTTAGCGACCGATCTGCGACTGACCACTATCGGTCGCAAAATTGCTTGTCGCAAAACTTTTGCGACCGATTAATCAGTCGCAAATCTAAAAAATCGGTTGCAAAATTTGGTCATATTTTCCTTGCGAAACGCTGTCGCAAATTGGTCGTAGAAACAGTCTGCCGCAATTATGAAATTCGGTCGCAAATTTTAAATTTAAAATTTTTATTTTTGGTTGCAAATCGGTCGCAAATTCATCGCAAAATAAAAAAAAAGAAAAAAATAAATATTATTATAAAACCATAATTTTTTTACACCTGTGAAAATTGGCATATATCACAATCGCAATTCAAAAACAATATCAAAATGTAATTGTTAATGTACTGAACAAAATTTAAAAAAACAACTGGAAAACTAAAAAGGTTCAAAATCAAATCCACGCAGTTGGTCATCTGCACGATCCTAATGTACTGAACAAAATTTAAAAAAACAACTGGAAAACTAAAAAGGTTCAAAATCAAATCCACGCAGTTGGTCATCTGCACGATCCAATGTCGGATCGCCGAGAGGAGTACCTGCTGGATATGCTGTAGTGCCGGGAGGGGTGACAAAGGTATCGTCTGCAACATCAGGATTAGGAGACGGTAGTGGCTGCTGCTGAGATGTCGAAACATTTCGATCTGTAGTAGGCGCAGGATCAAAGGAAGAAGTACGCATCGGGCTAACCGGACAGCCGCATGACATGCACTCTAAGTTCTGCAATCTGTCTCTGCTGATCATCAACATGAGCCCGTAATGCAGTAAACTCCTCGGCACCTCCTCGGCACTATGCTCGGGCTTGTGCGTCCATGCGCTTGGTTTGCAGAAGCGTGAGATGCTGAGCGCTGTAAAACTGTGATGCTTGAGACCGATGCATATACCTTCCCTTCTTCTCGAACCCCCCTGCTCTGAGATTTACAGTGCTACTCATCAATTCCTGACCAGCTTCAGATTTCATCAGCCCTGAGAAGAAATAAGCATGCTCCCGGGCATGTAGTATAGTTCTCCTGAAAACAAAAATTATTAATCAATGCAGTTGCAAGCTTTTTTATTATTGAACTTTGGCCTACATTTTCGCAACGCTTAGAGTGGTAAATGTAAAACATTTCTTCAATTGTTACTTTACATTGACGCTCACCGGCATGCTCTTGGACGGAAAACGTTATTAAGATCGTGTCCTTCAGTGTGAGTGTATGTAAAAACACTTCAATCGATGTGGCTCACGACCTAATTTTTTCAGCATTGTAATGATATTTTTATGCCATTGACTATAATTAATCTTGTGTTCCTTTCATTAAACATCGTTTCATATACTGTGACTTAGTTGACTCCACTAATAATCGAGCTGTCTCCCCTATAGCAACATATTGATCGCCTGTGTGTCAAGAAGGCTCCTGGCTCATCACCGCCAATCTTCACTGCACCTAATTTTTTGTGCAAATATCTTCTGCTTTTCTCTTTGAATTGCAAGATCCTCCTCAAGCCTATTTTGCAGCTCTCCCATATCTCTTTGAGACACGCCAACTACTACTTCTTTACCGCTTCTTTCTCATTTCCTCTATAGTGAAGTCAGCATATAAGTGTCACGCATAACTTTCTCCCCAGGCCACTTTTAGCATAGCCGACTTTTAGCATAGCCGTAATTGCCTCTTCCCATACGAAATGCTTCTACAAAAAATGAAAAATAAAATTTCAATAAAACGAGGTATCTTGATGAATTATACACATTGAATGATGATATAACTTAAACCAAAGGGTACCTGAAACTCCTCCCAATAAAAGTCTCTCGCCTCTTGTGGTACGACATCCCATGTGTATCCTTCTTTATGCAGTCGTAGCTTGATTATCCTCATAATTTGCCTCGATGCTCAAGAGGATGGATATATGCTGAGAAAAAAAAACACAAGTGAAATATAATTAGACGAAAGCATCACAATCTGAACAAAACCAAGTACAGAGGAAGAAAAATGTGAATAAGTATTCTGTTCCCGGCTTACCAAACTAAAGCTGGTACGTGGGATCCTATGATGAATGCTATAAATGCAGATAAATAATTAATGAATAATTGAAATGACAGTAATGACATTTATGATTACCTTGCACAGTAGGTGACTGTACAGCTGGTGAAGTCTGTACTAGTCTAGAAACAGGGGTAGAAGAGGAAGGAGCAGAAGGAAGTGATGGCGGCAGTACTGGTCGCTGAGTAGAGGATGAAGCCTAGACGTACCTTAAGAAGAAGAAGGGAGAGTCCCTCCTCGTCCACGGGGACTGCGTCCTGGGCCACGACCTCCACGTAAACCACTGCCGGACGCATCTGAATCAAACGCTCTGCCTCTAGCCATTTGTACTGCAGATATCAGAACCTAGATAAATGAATTTATACAATTATAGGAATTGTAGAACATGTGGTAGATATGAGTAAAGAAAGTTAATAACATTCAAATTCTTCATTAATAATATTAGATATACATCTATCAATTTGTAACAGTAAAACTGTTCTAAGTATGTATTAGTTTTATAGTGTCTTTCATGTATCATCTATTCTTCCTCCTCTCATTCTTCTTCCTCTTTCTTCATTTATTCGTCTTCTGAGGTACCTACCCATGATGATTTGATCTTCTTCCTCTTCATCATCCAATGCTCCTATTTCAACATAAGATTGGCTTTCATCATCCAATCTATCCGTTAAATCTTCATCAACTTGCATCGGTTGCGTATCAACCATTACTTCTTGAAATGGCTCTGGTACTGCGAGTGAAGCAGATTGTTTGGTTTCAAGTGCATGAACAACTAATCTAGCCTTGATTTTACACACTTCCATCCAATCGCAACGATCTCATTTAAACGATGGATATAGGACATAGTAGACCTGTGTAGCTTACATTGCCAACACAAAAGGTTCATACTTTGTATATCTTCTTCTTTGATTAATATCTACCAGATTATACTTAGGATGAATCTTCGTGCCAACGTTTGGCATAGGATCAAACCATTCACATTTGAATAAGATTGTGAACTTCATTGGTAGGCCTGGATATTCTAACTCTAAAACCTCAACCAATTTCCCATAAAAATCGTTTGACACGTCACTGTAGTTTGATCCCTTTATCTGTAGTTTAGATACATATATATGCAACCACCGCTGTTTCTTATCCTTTCTTCTTCTCCCAATTAACCCTCAGTGTTGAAACTTGTTAACCACTTTACAAAGTAGCAGAGTAAATGCATAGCAACCGGTAAGCGTCCCTTTGCTAGATCCGTAATGATCTGTTACCAATATCGATTTCCAAGCTTCGGCCTTATTGAGAAAATAGCAATGACATGACGTGAGATCTAATTAATGTACATTTCCATGGTTGTCTGCTACATGAAAGTAAAACTTACATCAACTATTGAACATTCTGCACATTTGGAGAGTCCAGTTTTTGCATCAACTGCAGGGTATCAGTCAAATTGAGATTTTTTTGAAGCCGCAAAGAATTGATTATATTTCCTGTTTATGACAAACAAATTAGCATAGTATCGATTTTAACTTACGCTCCACACCGGGTTTTAGGACTGTCTATAATATGTATTTTACTTACCCTGTACAAATGGTTTATTGTAATCTTCTTCGCAATCAACAAAACCATAGGTTTAAGCCCGCTCGTCTCTCTACATCAGTACCAATCGTCTTTTTTTTTTATTACCATTCTGTACGCCCAGGATAAGTGAAATTTGTAGATTTCCTTCAAAACTCAGATTCTATTTCGATTCTCTCGTCACGTTATGGGCACTCTCTGCATTGCCTTGGTGGTTGAAAACATTGTTGGTTCAAGTAGTGTGAACAGAAGGTGGGACAGAAGGTGGAAGCTTCTTCCACCAAATATGCATTGCAAATTGATCCCTCAACCTTTGCCTTATTACGCACATTCTTTTTAATTTTCTGCAGGTGCTTATCATTGTACAATGCCAATATGTAATTATGAGTTGAAATAAATGATGTAATGATCAGAATGGGATGTTAGTGATTCACCTCTCAAATGGATACATCCATTTATATTGTACCAGTCCTACTACACGACATTCATAAGGCAAATGAACCGGTAGATGCTCTATAGAATCAAAGAAGCCGGGTGGAAAAATTTGCTCCAATTTGCATATCACTACTGGGATTTCTCACGCTAATTGGTTCATATCATCGCATAGGATAATAGTCATCGTCACTTCCTTGAAAGAGACTCATTCTTGTCATTGCTTCCCAAATTTTCCCTTGTAACTAATTCCAGAAAAATGCCACAGGGATCAATCTTTGCATAGAAAACATGGCCACAGGGATCAATCTTTGCATGAAAACATGACAGTCATGGCTTTTCATGCCAAATAATCTGTACTTCCTCATGTCCACACATCTACCCATATTTAAACAGTATTCATCTGGAAACCTTAATGATCGTACCCATTTGCACAATAATTGCCTTTCGGGTTTATCTAAACAATAACATACATTTGGAAACTTACCAGTAAGTACAGATTGCTCGAGTTCTGGTCGATGACAACTTTCCTTCATGTCTGCTCTCGCTTTTGCATTATCCTTGGTTTTCCCTTCATGTTCATGACAATGTTGAACAGATTTTCAAACACATTTTTTTCTATGTGCATCTATGTGCATCACATCAAGGTTATGATGGATAAGAAGTGAACTCCAGTATGGCAAATCCCAGAAGATGCTTCGCTTTTTCCACCCTCTATTCCTGCCAAATCTTCCATTTGCCTCATCGGCACCTAACTCTATAACTTTCATAAGGCCCAGATCTTCAATTTCTTATAATATTTCAGCTCTAGACTTCACAGGCGGAGGGGGTTCGGCAATAATCGTGTTCTTTCTAAAACATTGTCGATTTCTCCTCCAAGGGTGAGATTCTGATAATAATTTGCGATGACAATCAAACCAACATTATTTACCTCTATTTTTTAGTGTAAATGCATTAGTGTTTTCCATGCAATGAGGACAAGCCAATTTCCCTGCTATACTCCACCCAGATAACATTCCAAATGCTAAAAAATCACTGATGGTCCAACGCAAAGCAGCAAGCAGCTCGCATTATGAAATTCTGATTAGTCGAAATATCGAATGTTTCAACCCCATATTCTATAAATAATTAAGTTTAGCAATCAAAGGCTGCAGAAACACATCGATTTTGTGTTTCGAATTAGTAGGGCCAGGTACAATAACACACAAAAACATATATTCATTTTTCATACACATTGACGGTGGTAGATTATATGGTGTGACAATGACAGGCCATGATGAATATTGTTGTCCTGATTGGTCAAACAGCTGAAATCCATCAGTACAAAGCCCCAATCTCACGTTTCTCATATCAGCAGCAAACACAGGATGAATGTTATCAAAATGTTTCAACGCTTCAGAGTAGTCTGACGGATGAGTCATTATACCATCCTCATATTCATGCAAAGCATGCCATGTCATGTGTTCAGCTGTCGCCTTAGATGCATATGACCTTTGAAGGTGAGGAACAAGAGGAAAATAATACATCTTCTTGAAAGCCTTCTCTCTTTGTACTCTACCAGTCTCTTGACCCCGCCGTTGATATCTTGGAAGATTACAAAACTTGCAGTCTCTGAATTCTGAGTCAAAGCCCCAGTATATCATATAATTATTACGACAACAATCAATCTTTTCAACGGGTTGTCCCAATCCTCGAACTAATTTTTTTGTCCGGTAAAAATTATCAACCATTGAATGGCCTAATGGCCTCAGGAAACAATTTCTTTTGCTAACTGCATCAAATTCGATCCGTAACACCTTTCTGAAAATGGTTGCTCCGCTTTCAATGTGCCAGTAATCGTGGCCACAACAGATAGAACTGAATGATTCTTGCTCCAGGCACAGTTCACTGTTAACTGCACTAAGCATGTCAAACAATTGATTGTGCTGCACGTTTGGTGATTCCTCCATTTATCCCAATGACATTCTACTCTACTCGCATCGATTAACCATATCAATTGCATTGATTACGCAATACTGAAAATTGCTAAGGCTGACCTTCTAAACTTACGAAATAGAGTGGCTGACCCACTGGAAAACTCGAGGTTTACATTGATGTATCCATTCGTAATAATTTTCCCAACGAATCCATTTTTGCATAAATGAAAGTTTAATTGTATCAATGTCTAGAAGACTTTATTTCGACACTTCTTGTGATTACATGGACACCGCACTCATTACCACCATAACAACTGGGATTACCAACTGCAAACTGTATAAACGCCTCAATCCTTGCAAGAACTTTTTTCTTAATATCCATTGAACTTCGTACCCCAGTAATCCAATCTCGATTAGTTTGCATTTTTTTTCTCTAATTAAACTGTGTTTATAAAGATGCAAATTATATGTAATTGCATTAGTCTTAAACAATCCGTTAAAACATGCCAAATGTAATGTTCAATTTACCTTCTAAACTTATAACGTTTATTTCTATAATAAGAGTAACTATAATATAAATGTAAACTCACTAAGTTCATTTTATTTCATAAAGTTCATTTATTCAATACTAAGGTTATATTGAATTTTTTGGAAAAAAATTCGGCAGCATTTCGGCACAATACAATCAAATCTCAAATACAAAGGCACTTCAATAAACACTTCTAGATCATACCAACATTCTCTAAAGGCAAAATGGCCACTACTAGGCCTCCAACCCAAACGCATCATTCATTTTAAAAAAAATATATATTTAAGAATAATAACAACAATAATAAAAAATAAAATGCATTATTTCATAATTACAAAAAGAGTGATTTTAGTTACATGTATCATAACAATTGGCTTCTATTATTGCTATTGTGTATCATGTATCATGTGGCCATGTCATTTTTTCTTCTTTTTGAATTGTTTTTAATTATCAATGGCAACTTGTTGTCGTTATTGTTAGTGGCAACTTTAATATAAATCTAATTTTGAAAATAGTTATTCTATAACGAATATTTTGTTAATTAAGTTAAATATTTTATAAATAATGTAAAAAATATAATTTGATTCTAAAAACATCAAACCAAGTTGTTGGTACATAAATATTTTTTTTTATATTTCATCATGAATTATGAATTATTAATGATTCGAGAGTAGTTATTACATTTAAATTGTTATAACTTATATTTGGACTAGTTTTTTTTTTTTTAATATGTGTTATACATATTTTTACTTCTTGTTAATTCTACTTGTAATGTTTTTATTAATTTTTTACTTATAACATACTTAAAATATAATAATATTTTAAATTGACGAAATAATTTAAATTAGGTTTAAAATTAATGATTTAAACTAAAAAAATTAACTATCATTTACTCTTTTAATTTTTTTTTTTAATTATTCCTCAATTTTTATAAGTAGGGGATATAATATAATTACCAATTTGTGTTCCTATTAATGAAACCAAGTAACAACATGTATAAATATAATTTATACTTATCAAGTAAATAATTTAATATTTATATATCTTTAATATTATTTACTAATTATTATAATTTTTTATTTTTTTTCTATTTAATTCATTTCTAAAATTATTAATCTTTTTATGTTCTTGTATATAATAATAATAACAATAACAATAATAATAATAATAATAAATCGAAAAAAAACGAAAAAAAAAAAACGCAAAATGTACCTGAGAAGTGACCAAAGTGCGCGAAAGCCGGGTAGAAGTGACCGGGGCGACGTCAGGCGACCTGGAGCAGCGCGGCGACACACTGGGACGACGCTGCGAACGGAGGAGAAGAGAGGAGGAGAAGAAAGAAAGAAGAAAGAAGAAGGAGAACGGAGGAGAAGAGAGGAGGAGAAGAAAGAAAGAAGAAAGAAGAAGGAGGGCGTCTGGCGTTTAAAGCCCTAAAATTTGCGACCGACTAGTCAGTCGCAAATTTCATCAAAATCGATCGCAATTTTTAAATCTGTGACGTCGTATTACTTGGCACTAAAATTGCGACCGATTTGCGACCATAATTGTCGGTCGCAAATCGTTCGCAGAATTTGTTCCTTATTTTGAAGCGCGCAATTTTGCGACGGAATAATTCATGGTCGCAAAATTGGTCGTAAATCCGTCGTACACGTGTCGCAAACTGGAAAACAAACTCGCGGGAATTTTTAGCACTACAATCAGTTACTGCTTGTCTATAGGTCGCAAATCGGTAACAAAATTGCGACCAAATTAGGTCGGTCACAATAATCAGTCGCAAAATGGCGATTTTTTTGTAGTGTTCCTACTTCCTTCCGGCTTTTGTCTTGTCATTCTAGAAAGCATCTAGAAAAAAGATTCTATGTAAGAATTCTAACTCAAGAAATTTAGTTTTCATTCATTTGCTAATTACAGTCACCTCAACCACTTTTCTTAATTTATCAAACTATATAGTCTTAATTTATCAAACTATATAGTTATAGTATTCTTATTTATCTACTTGTCTTAGTTATAACTTTATTAAAGTGTTCTCCGGTAAAATTAAAGTATAATAATAATAATAATAATAAAATAAGTAGTTATTTTCCACTAGTGTTATAACTAAGCTAGTTCTTTATTAATCATTTTATTGAAAATTCAGCAGCATTCCCTTATAAATTGGACTATCTATATTTTATATATCAGAAATATTAATAGCACACGGCCCATCCATGGCAAAACAATTTGATCTAAGCCCTTCCGCCTTTAGTATAGTCTTGACTACTAATGCATTTTAATTCATAGCTAATTGACTAATATCGCCTACACAACGCATTCAAACTCAACATTCATATATCATTAATCTGTTAACTAGTTAATAACTTTAAATTTTAAAAATTTATGTTTTCTACTTAACGAGCTTGTAAACCATATTTTAAATAAAAATCTCTATTATTCATTAAGCACTTTGAATCCAGATTTCTTAAACATGTCTTATCTTACTCTAATTTAACTTATTAAATTCTAATTCTTGACTAACTTGGATTAACCAACTCTAATTAAATTTTTATAATAAAATATAGTGTAAGGACTTAGGGGTTACCAATTAAAAATCAAGTTGAATATTTGTGATAATTCGAAAAAGAGAAAATTCTGTCTCTAAGAAGCCTCGTCAGACTCTCACCGGCTAGTCACCACGGTGTTCGAAAAATCAATTTCGTCCGAAAAGGCTACCAGATTGCTTGGATTTTCTCCTGCACTCCATATCCGGCTTGAATTTGCAAAAAGGAGGAGCCTTTTAGCCGAAAATCACATCGACAGCCTTCTCCTTGCTGTCGATCATGGTAGATTCGCAGGGCGGAGCTGGTCGCTAGAATTTATGGAGGGGAAAGGCTCACGAATTGATGTGGAGTTGATCGAAGGCCTCCCTGAAGGCTGTCTTCACCGGTAACAGCGAGAATCCCCGAAAAGCGAACCGTTATGATACCGAATCCCATTACTCGTGATTCCCCTTAATCCAGGCCTTTATTACGTGAATGGAAGCTTCTTCCTTTTCTTTTATTGGCTTTCTCTCTCCTCAATTGATTGGTATAAACATCTGATTTGGAAGCTTCTTCCTTTTCTTTTATTGGCTTTCTCTCTCCTCAATTGATTGGTATAAACATCTGATTTGGAAGCTTCTTCCTTTTCTTTTATTGGCTTTCTCTCTCCTCAATTGATTGGTATAAACATCTGATTTGGAAGCTTCTTCCTTTTCTTTTATTGGCTTTCTCTCTCCTCAATTGATTGGTATAAACATCTGATTTGGAAGCTTCTTCCTTTTCTTTTATTGGCTTTCTCTCTCCTCAATGGATTGGTATAAACATCTGATTTGGTCCAAATCAGATGGGGTTCAGTTCAAATCTGCTTCTAGAGGATTCTACTTTGGTTTTAAATTATTTTATACATAGTTTTCTTATGATTTTGAGTGGTTTAAATTTGGTTAAAATTATTTTCCATTTGTTTAGTTAGTTCTCGAATCTTCACTAACTAAAACAAAGCTTCTTTAATAAGTTTTGATGGTCAAATATTAATAAATGTAATGATTTTTTTTTCTTTGTGGATAATTAGATTAATTTGTGGTAATGTATTATTTAAATAAATAATTTAGAGGGTTCTCAATTCGATAGTTCTGAAATATATTTTTTGGCTTAAGTCTGAGTTTACGAATTTAAGCTTGGGATGTAATTATTTGTAGTCCATGTAGTTGAAAATTCAAACTTTTGATTTAATTAAAATTTAAAAATTTTAAAAATAAAATTACAAAATGTTTCACTAACTTATTCAAAAAAAGCAAGATGGTGGAACTGAGGCCTATGACTTGGCATTTCCTGTTCTATTCTATGCAAGAGCGATGTTGATGTTATTAGGTTGATTTGATTGTCATAGTCTTCTCTTAACTAATTTGTGAATACTGATTATTTAATTATAAAAATAATTGATTAAATTTCATATTCAGATATCGTGAATTTGGAATTCAGTTTTATATAATTTATTCATAAATTCATAAATTACAATTTAAAAAAAAAAACTAATGAGAATAAGATCTATTTAAAAAAAAAAAAATGAAATACTAATAAGCACAAGAGATAGTCGTCTAGAAATCCTCTATTATTTTAGTTTTCTCATTAAAAATTTATTCATATAAGTTTTTCTCATAAAAATTTATTCATATATATATATATAATAATATATATATATATATATATATATATATAGTTAGGGCCATTTTAAAAATTTTTGGATCTTTTTCAATTTTTTTTTAAAAAAATATGTGCATACATAAATTATTGATTTTCTTTTGCATAAGACTTCCTTTTTTAATTAATCTATTTAATTTTTATATATTAAATTAAAATAAAATATTTTTGTTTGGGATTAATATATATTAATATAGAAAATTTTTAATTTTTTATAGAATTAGTATTTAATTATAACAGTAATTAAATTACATTTTACTGCTAAGTACTATTTATCTATATATTATCCATATTAAATTTTATAATTATTTAATATAAACTAACTATATTGCAATTTCTATAACATGATAATTTAATAATGCAACCAGCAATCCACACAAAGCAGACCTTCACTAGTTTATATTTAATAATGCAACCAGCAATCCACGCAAAGCAGACCTCCACACTGACTTGATAGTGTCCTATGTAAGCATTCTTTTTATCTTTTAATTTAATAATGCAACTGTGGTAGAGAAAACTCGAACTTGAGACATCCCACTTCTCATATAAGTAAAAAGATCAACCAAACCATCACTTCATTGGCATTTATTTCTTTTATTTTTTAAATTTTTATAGCGTGATATATTAGCGTTGATATATATATATTATATATATATATATATATATAATATATATATATAATATATAATAGTATATATTTCAATTTTTTCAACTTATTTTCATTTAACCTGTAAAATACCTAAACATTTCCTTTCTTTTTCTATTTGGCTCTGTCTCTAAACTCTGATTAATTCGAAATCAATATCTGTCTCGAGGTAAGCTTTCAATCATCAAGATTATATATATATATTCAATTTTTTCAACTTATTTTCATTTACCTGTAAAATACAACTACATTTCTTTCTTTTTCTATTGCTCTGTCTCTAAACTCTGATTATTCGAAATCAATATCTGTCTCGAGGTAAGCTTTCAATCATCAAGATTAGGATTTTATTCGTTTTTTTTTTTAAGGCAAATAAATCAAGCTTGCATTACTCATAAGCAAAAATTATGATATACTATCTCACACTTGGAAACGAGCATGAGAATAGGAGGCTCTGGCTAAGGTATAAGCCCTTAAGTTAGTTTGTCTCCTGATCCATCGAATAGCCACATCCGGCCTATACAAATAAATCCTATAATCATTAATAACCAAACCAGATTCAGAAAGGTCTAAACTAGAAGTTTCAAAACATAAGGTAATGTTTGAGAATCAGTATAAATACACCCTGGAAAAAGAAAATGATCCTACAGCTATGTAAGACACTTCTAGAGAGCCAATGCTTCCACCATTAGCGGGTTCATATAATGATCGAAGAAACCTGATATGGCTTGAGTGAAATTGCCCTCAGCTAGCTCAAAGGTGCATCCAAAACCAGCCATATGTAAGTTGTCGAACACTGCTCCATCAAGAAACCCTTGCCAACCTGACGGGTACACCTGAGAAGGGCCACAACACAGTCATGCCACTCCCAAAGCTGCTGTATTTACGCATTCAGTGTGGATGTCACATCATGGTTTTTTTGGGACCAAACAACATCCTTTCTATCTTGCCATAATTGCCAAGCTATGAAGATGACCACTTGTATTGTCTTAGTCCTATTACTTACCAAAAGATGCTTTAGAAATTGGGAAAACGATACACCTGCAGCAGGATATGTTACTCCTTTCCTTCCCCATACATCATCACTTTAGCACACCTCAACAACACATGATCCACATCCTCCTCCTCGCCACAACAGTGACATCTTTTATCTATATTTACCCTCCTCTTGTGTAACCTTAATTTATTGGGAAGAATAACCATCAACACCCTCCATACAAAATTCCTCAGTTTAGGTGGAACTTGTAAATGCCAAATTTTCCTCCAACACTCCCATTCCAACCTCTCTCCCCTCTATTCAAAATTCATAGAGCAATGAAATACCCCGATTTCACACTATAAGCCCCTCTCTTTTCATAATGCTAAATGATTTTATCCTCACTATTACCCAAACCCAATGGGATATCAAGGATAGCCTGTATATCTCTAGCACTAAACATCTCAACTATTTTATTAAAGTCCCACCTCCTTCTATCTTCGCTCATAATATGACACATTCTTAACCTTGTTTCCGCAAAAAGAACCCCATCCTTCACCATAAAAGAATTATCCTTTGGTATCCAAGGATTCAAAAGTACTCTAATTTTCTCTCAATTGCCTACTCTCCATCTCACTCCATCTTTTAATACATCCCTAGATAACGAGACACTCTTTCACGTGAAACTAGAATTTCTGTCTAAAGATGTTGATAAAAACTCCTTATCCAAGTAATATTTAGCTTTGAAGGTTCGAGAAAGAAGAGTGTTGGGCTCTCAATTGCATACTCTCCATCTCACTCCATCTTTTAATACATCCCTAGATAACAAGACACTCTTTCACTTAAAACTAGGATTTCTTTCTAAAGATGTTGATAAAAACTCCTTATCCAAGTAATATTTAGCTTTGAAGGTTTGAGAAAGAAGAGTGTTGGGTTCAATAATTAACCTCCACCCCTGTTTACCTAGCATGACTATATTAAAACTATGAAGGTCTCTAAATCTCATACCCCCATCCCGCTTACTTTGACACTTCCTATCCCAAGAATACTAATGAATACTCTTGTTTCCCACTTGCCTACTTCCCCACCAATAAGAGATTATAGTTTTCTGTAACTCATCACAAAGAGAAAGTGGCACCAAAAATATTAGAATTTTATTATTGTTCTTGATTATTTAATTGTTTGATTGATTAATTGGTTAATATAGTTGATTTAATTAATGTTAACAACAATAATCTATATTGATAATTCAGAATGTAGGCAAAATATCAATTACTCTCCTTTTATATTTCAAACTCAGGCTAATATTGTTAATCTTATTGAGGTCTGAGGAGTATTGTATTGCAGATAATAATTTGGGAATTATCCTTTCGATGGTGGCATAACAGTACACTTATTTCTCTCATTCTTTTTTACTTTGAATAATTGTGGATGCTTAATATTACTGCTGAAATATAGGTTTTTAGTTTTCATATAGGAAATAGAGCTAGATGAGAATTAGGGGTGTGCATGGGTTGGATTGGAATGGGAATTACATAACTTTCAGTCTCATCCCAAAATATAAGGATGAGACAAGATGAGAATTAAGTTTATAGGGTATGATGGAATTAGCTCGGTCGGAAATCAATTAGGAGTTCCGATAGTCTTACTAAATTATTGTTCATTAAAAATGTAAAATTATTATATTCATCAATTACAATCAAATAAAATTTGTTTATACAAATTTGAGTTTAAAAAAAATCAAATAATTAATTCAACCATTGATGATATGCTACTAAAGTTATAATAGAAGGTTTATTAATAGTTACTTTCTAGTTAATAATAGCATTAAATGCAACAAAATAAAATAATTCAAAAACTATATAAATTTAACTTAATATATATTTTATGAAATTTAACTTATATTTTTTTGTTACCATTGCTTTTAAGCTGATTTAAACATAATATTACTTGATTTAATTCTGAATATCATGTGAAAAATAAATAACGATAGAATTAAGCATAACGAATAATGCATCTTTCCTCTTGTATTGATTAATCTTTCCTTTATTTAATAGAAAGAATTATTGAGAAAAGATTTACTTAAGACATACAGTAGAATAATAGAGAAAAAATCTATATTGAAATTTAATTAATCGATTCATTTTATATTTAGAAAATGTATATTATTTTTGTTTTCATATCATTATTATCTTACCAAGTAATTGTAAGATTAAAAAGGATGAAATGATTTTCATGGATGTTGATTTGAAATTTATAAAAAAAAAGAGAAATTTAGAATTTTAAAAAAAAATTAGACCGAACGTGATGAGACGGAATTTGGCTCGGTAAATATTGATTTTAATCGAAGAATCAGTTTTATCTCATAATTAATTTCAGGGATGAGATTCGAGAATATATCGAGATTCCTACTATCCAATGCACACCCCTAATAAAAATACTGGTGGGTGGGATTTGCTTGAGATTTCTTCAAACGCATTGACTATAACTGGAATTAATGATTTATCTCTAACTAAAACTTTACAGTACAAATATTGTTAAAAAAGAAAAATAGTGGTACAAGTAATTGCAAATTAATCGAGTTAAATTTTCCTCTGAGGTAGTATTTTCCAAGAAATAACTAATAAGAATCTGAAACTCATCACTAATTATCTAGTAGGTTGTAGGCGTGGCCGGTTCAAGATTTTTAAAATATTCAAAATTTAACATTCACATGAATCTTAACCGGCCCTTGAACTGTCGATTCCGATTTAAAATTTTGAACCGACGATTTCGATCTGATTCTGAATCGTCTACAGTATGGTTCAATTCCGGTTCAAATTGAACCGATGGCCATGGCTGGTTGGTTGCGAATTCTAGGCATTTGGCCAAAGGCAGAAGCAATTTTTTCCAAAAAAATCCAACACTTCATGGAAAATTCACTCTACTTTCCCATTCCCCATTCCATATTATATATAAAAGTTGTGTGAGGAGAAGAAGTAATGAAGTTAGAGCAGGAGAAGCAATTAATTAAGTTATAATTATAAGATATATGGGTAACAGTCACTTCACAGTTGCCTACTCTCGCTTGCATCCTCCAGATTCTTTGCGCAAACCTCCACTGAGCTATGATACTAATCAGGCAAAGTAAACTCGTACATCTTCATCTTCTTCCCCTCTTTTGCTTTTAGGGTTTGGATTCTCAATTGCTTGTTCGATGGGTTTAATTATCGGAATAACATTATCAATAATTTCAAAAAATTACAACGATTAGTACTATTAAACAGTCAAACTGTTCGTCTTAAATAACTAATTGTAGTTTAAGCATAAATTTATTGGTTGGGTTTATTAACAATAAATTATGATTATTTGGTTGTTGGAAAAAATTAAATAAATAATTTCCAAATTAAGAAAAGAACAAGTAAATCTTAATAATGAATGGTTTAATGTGTTTCTCTTATTGAGAGGCAACAGAAGCTCCTGAAGAACAAAAGGGAGACCCTACTCTTGAAAAGGACCTTGCTGAAATGAAGCTTAGGCTTGCAAAATTGGAAACTGCGAGTTTATGATATGGCTAAATTAATTAAATTACGTTAATTTTTAAATTTAAGAGTAATTAAATTAACCTTTTTTTTTAATTTTTTCTTATTCTAGGTTTTGAGAACACAAGAAAAGACCACTGGGGCAATGAAGTTGAAAGGTACTGCCATGGAGAAGAACATTTCAGAGTTGACAACAACTATTAATGAAATGAAAAACTCACCCTCTGGTAATGCTATAGCACATGCAGGTGCAGCTTCAGAATCTGGGATCAACCATCCTAATGGTTTGATCCCTGATCTTATTGACCTTGAGGATACTATTTCTATGGTCAACTATAATCCAACGGCAACTAGTGATGTTACAAGTACAGACATCAAAAGTAAAATTAATGATCTTGCCAGTGATTTTCTTGAATTCCTAGTTCTTCTGATTTTCTTTGCACCTCTGTTCATTGGTATTTATTTACTATGAATTGTGTAAGTAATGTGTTAATTACAGCAAGAAAGTTCTTCTAATCTCTCTAACTATTTCTGAGTGTAATATTTTACAATTTTTTTTTATTTAGAATTTCTTTTTGATAATATTGTTAATATATTCACTTTTTTCCTTTTAATTGCTTAAAGAATTTAATAAGATGGAAATTTCTTTAGTTAGTAATTAAATTGCTTAAAATAGATTTATTGTCAATTCTTGGAATTTTCAAAATGAAAGACAATAATGTAGGATGTGCATGTATATGATGTATTTATGGGTAAAAACACTTTGGTTGGATTTAATTAATCATTCAATATGTTAAATGAAAATTGTAACCATAGTCTTCGTTAATCAAACCTCGCCATTTATTTTTAAAAAACTAGTTAATGCTTATAAATGATTTGATATAGAAGAATTACATTATTTTATGTTTAGAGTTATTTAAAGACTTTGCATTGAACCGTATTAATACCGGTTCAGTTTACTAGTTTTTAGTTGGTTTATGCCCATTTTTGAAGCTTTTGGTTTTGTTATCCAATTTGGATTGTCGAATCAACCGGCCCGATTTGATTTTCAGAATAATGGTAAAAATAAAAATAAATATTGATTTACAAATTGAGACAATCTATTTTACCCAAACCAAATGGAAAAAGAAAGAAATTTCATGAATAATTAAATATTACAGCTATGTTTGGTATTATGTAATCAACTATGTAATGGAAAGAGATTACATACATGACTAATTATATTGTTTGTTTAGACTTTTTTTGGATAATGTAATGTAATTGAGATTACATGTATAATCTTCATTACTTAAATTGAAGTAATATTTATTACATAAAAAAACATATGTATTGTCCATTACATCAAGCACATATAATACCAATTACATCAAGCTACTCCAATAAAAATTTTACTGTTTAAGGGCATTTAATACTATCACCTTACCACCACAACCACTATCACCGTTCCACCACTACCACCACCTCAACCACTTTATCAGCACCACAGCGCCACCACTACCTCAACCATCACCACCACCTCAGCCATCACCATCACCGACGCTTGACCATTGCTCCACCACCCTTACCACCATCTCCACCATCGTGCCACAACTACTACCACCGCTCCACTACCCTTACCACCACCTCAACCACCATATTTGAGCTTTTAAATTTAGTGATTTCATGATAATTACTAACATAAGGAGTTCAGTAAGCAAATACGAACAATAGTTTTTTGAAATATAATATATAAATTCAAACTGTATTTTATATAAAAAATATTAGGACACTCTCAATTTTTACTTTGAGCAATTGAACACTTTAATTTATAAAATCATATTCATTAAATATTTCAACTTGTAACATTATTTATTAAACGCTCGAATTTGTAAAATTAGATCTATCAAATTCTTATTGAGTAGTTAAAAATGTGAATATTATTATTTCAAAAATTATACTAATTATAAATCGGATGAATATTTTACATATAAGTATCAAAAATACAAAAAAAAAAAAAATTATTATATTGTTAGTATGACCAGGGGTATAATGTTACCAAAATTCCTAAAAAATAAGGGTATGTGAAGAATCATAAATCAAATATTTTTTATATTCTTATAATTAAATACATAAAAAATTTTGGGAATATCTTATTTTGAAAAACAAATAACGTGTATATTTAATTTTTGTTAATATATATCATATGTGTAATACTAAAAATATTAATTATATATAATAAAATATAATATATATATAATATTTAATATAGGAGCCGTGGTGGTTCCCTCGGACCGTCCGGATCCCCCGAGTGAATAGAAAGTTGAATCTACATTGGATCTCACCTAAATCGCCCCATCTATCCTCCCGAGGAGAAGTTTGGTTTCCAACCCCGGTTCGAACAGGATAAGTACGCCGTGCTAATGTCTTTATTTGTCATTTAAAATCTTTTTACCATTCTGATTTCTTGGATTGCGAAATATTTTTTAAACAAATTTCACCAACTAACTTTGAATTAAGCTACTGCAGAACCAATCATCATCTACCAAACTGCAAAAACAACTAAAATTTGAAAGGCTCACCGTTCTGTTCTTCTCCTTGTACGTGTACGTGTCACACAAGGATATGACAGTCAGTTCTCAATTGATTCCTAGTATCAATGACGCGATAATCTGATCAAAGAAGAAACCAAGAAAAGAAGATAGTCAAACCGGATATTGATTAGAAATTTCATTTAATAAATCAACTTAACATTATCACTAACATAATTTTAGAAGACTCGGCACATTTCTTATTTTTAATTCTCCAGTTTTTCTTTTTTTCTTCATTACCTACTTCCACTGCCAATGCATATATTACGCTTCTGATTTAAATTTTTAGTTTTTTCTTTTCTGGGTATGGCTCAAAATTACAGAAACATGGTTTCGTCGAAGTTTCATTGCAAGTTTGCTTAACAGGGTAGACTTTTGCTGATTAAAAAGACGACAAATAAGTAGACTTTATAATTTTGCCATGTAATTTCTGTCTGGGTTCTTATGACTTTTGAGTTATAGTGTTGCTATCAGAATAATTTCCATGAAAGCTTCTGTAATCTGATGACTAGTTTCATTTTCATGCCATTAATTTCCTTTCTCATTTGGTATTACTCGGTTTTGACCTTTACATGCTTCTGTAATCTGATGACTAGTTTCATTTTCATGCCATTAATTTCCTTTCTCATTTGGTATTACTCGGTTTTGACCTCTACATGCTTCTGTAATCTGATGACTAGTTTCATTTTCATGCCATTAATTTCCTTTCTCATTCGGTATTACTCGGTTTTGACCTTTACATTTTCAAGACTGTTTGTCCTGTTTATTATATATTCACAGGAAAACCTTCAAGTTTACTTTGATCTATACTGGACTTCTTTGAGTTTGCTTGAAGTTGAATTCTCTAGTTGAAAGTATTAAATTCATTTATATGGTTGTTTTTTTTTTTTTTTTTAATTTGCGTTTAAATTCTTTAATTAGATGATAACATATTATTTCTAATTTTAATTTCCTGCTGCTCTTCATCTAATGAACTGATATGCTGTTTGTGTTTAAAGGTGATTAATTTGGGATTCGAAACGATGGGCATGATTAGTTAGATGATAATTGCTTATTATTGATAAATTCTGATAAGATGGTGTGGGTTTATGTGAAGCAGAAATTAGGAATAGCTATCAAATTATCATGGGAAGCAAGCAGTCAAGGCATAGCCATAGAGGCCATGGCTATCAGCATGATTCATACGGATATGGGGCTTCATCACTCCCAAGTTCTTCACCATACAGATATGGGGATTCGTCACTCCCAAGTTCTTCACCATACCTAACTAAATCTTCAATCGGTACTGATTATGATGGAAGAAATAAACTGAAGTCGAAGTACTCAAGAATTGGTGATGATTACCATTCTCTTGAACAGGTATTTTCCTTTCACATTTTACAGCTCTATTTTATAATATATTTCAGGTTTAGAATGAAATGTCTTTATTAATTTTACATAGGTGACACAAGCTCTTGCACATGCTGGTTTGGAATCATCCAATCTTATTGTGGGTATTGATTTCACAAAAAGCAATGAGTGGACTGGTTCACGGTCTTTCCACAGAAAGAGTCTGCACCACCTCGGGGATGGTTTGAACCCATATGAACAAGCAATATCAATAATTGGAAGAACTCTATCCCAATTTGATGAGGATAATCTGATTCCTTGTTATGGTTTTGGTGATGGTAAGTAAATTTGTTCTTCAGGTTGATGCTTTTTTTTTTTTTTTTTTTTCAGGATAATCTGATTCCTTGTTATGCGTTGGTGATTAAGTAAATTTGTTCCTTCAGGTTTTTTTTTTTTTTTTTTTTCCTCTTATGAGTATCCTTAGACCTTTTTTGGGTATAGGGTTAATTTCATTCTGGGATTCGTGGTTGCCTCTCCCAGTAAGTGGTCAGGTTGATGCTCAGATAACCGCAACATTTCCTATTTTTTTTACTTCTAATTTTGCAGCTTCTACTCATGATCAAGAAGTTTTTAGCTTTAATCCAGAAGAGAGGCCATGTAATGGCTTTGAGGAAGTTTTGAGCCGTTATAGAGAAATAGTTCCTCATGTTCACCTAGCTGGTTAGTTTGTTTGCAGTATTATTTTCAGGCATATTCTTTCTACATAGCATATGATTTTCTGTAGAGCCATTTCAATTAACTGAAAATTTGCATGTACTAAATTCTGACAGGACCAACATCTTTTGCTCCAATAATTGAAACTGCAATTGGAATTGTGGACAATAGCGGTGGCCTGTATCATGTTCTTGTCATCATAGCTGATGGACAGGTTAGTTTCTTTATTTGAATGCTAATGGTTTATTGCCTTAAACCTTAAATTGATGCTTCTCCTATTCAATTATTTCACCCCTTAACCTTAAATTGATGCTTGATTATTATATTATTTGGAAGGTTACAAGAAGTGTAGATACAGGTCATGGACAGTTGAGTCCTCAAGAGAATAGTACCATTAATGCTATTGTAAAAGCAAGGTTATAATACTATCTTTTCTCCCCCACCATTTTCGGTATTTGGCAATTTATTTAATTTTTTTCTGAATACTGAAGCATTATTTATCCCTTTGTAGTGAATATCCTCTATCAATTGTACTGGTTGGAGTTGGTGATGGACCATGGGATATGATGCATAAATTTGACGACAACATTCCTTCTCGGGCTTACGATAATTTCCAGGTTAGTATATCAAATTTGGAACTCATGAAACCAACTTCCAAGTTGAATTAATCATGATTCTGAGTAACAGTTTCGGAATGATTCAATCTGATAGCATTGGTTCAGTTACTAGTTTTGCGTCCATTATTTAAAACACTGAAATTTATCATTAATGCATAACAATTCAATGCAGTTTGTGAATTTCACAGAGATTATGTCGAAATGGACCTCCACGTCTAAGAACGAGACAGAGTTTGCTCTATCAGCATTAATGGAAATACCATCACAATACAAAGCTACGATAGGGCTCCACTTGTTAGGGTAATGTCACTAACGTTACCTTTTGCATATTGCTCCATTGAAATATATTCCAGTTACTTATGCTCACATTTCATCAATCTTTTTACTTGCAGCTGCCAAAAGGGTATTCCGAAGAGGTATCCTCTCCCTCCTCCGCTTGGAAACCACTTGGCAATTTCCTACCCGACGCATATCAGGCTGAGCAGGAATGAACAGAGAGCTGGATCTCATCATGATGCTTCTCACATCTTTGTGGATCATTCTTTACAGAATAGGGTAAGTCTCTAATTGGCATAATTACGTAACTATTGATATAAGTATTTGAATTTTATATATTTAGTTCAAAATTATATTTCTTGATGTTTAATTGTGCTTTACAGAACTGTCCTGTATGTTTCTGGAGTAAAAAAGATCTTGCATTTGGATGTGGTCATCAGGTAACCTGAAAATCAAGTTTATCAATATCTTTTTTCCCGATTCGAGGCTGTTCTGATATTTTATGAACATTTTGCAGACATGTTATGATTGTGGAAAGGACATGTTCTTGTGCCCCATTTGCCAAACCAACATAATTACTAGGATAAGACTCTACGAGTAATTTATCAGATAAAGCACCACTGGTTTGCAAAATTTGAAATTATGAAGCATCGCTGTTGGATTGTCCACTGTAAAATGCACTTCTCCTCTTTGAGATTCTGTGTACATATATCTCTGTAATTAACCATCTTTAAGTTAGTGTCAAAGAATCCGAATGGTTCTATTTGATTTTGATTCCTGTTATCAATTTTCATTTATATGATTAGAAATTTTCTGGTTTGAATTTCATATCTTTCTGCAGAAGTTAAAGCAGATTGTGTTTTTTGTATACAAATCTACTCTTTGCCTTTCAGCACTAGAGCTTGAACTTTTAGGCCTCATATATATATATATTATATATATATATATATATATATATATATAATATATAAAATAGAAGTGAGCAAATCTATTCTTTACAGAAAATTGTCCAATATCGATTCAAATAGAAATCTCTGTTCCAAAACCGTTTTAGAAGTTAATTGAGAGCAGTTCGGTTTCAATTTCAATTTTGTTTTAGAATCAAAAACCAACAATTTTGGAAACGAAACCATAATAATTTCGAAACTGTAATCATACCAAAAATGGAAGAGGGCAAAAATTAAAAATTTAAGATGATTAAAATTAGAAGGATGAATAAAATAGAGACATAGCTTAGAGGTACCATGGCCCTGTTGGTCCCTGCCTTGACCATGGCTAGAACTTTTGTTCAAATTTTAAATATGGAAATATTACTATTATATGCCCATATTATATCAAAATTAATTACTCCGTCCTCAACTTTTTAAAAATACATCACTTCATTTTAATGTTTGATTCCGGTAATTATATAGTCCTTTCTTTCACTTTTTGGAGTTTTTTACAATTAATTATCTTTTAAAAAGATAAAAAAAAAAAAAACTCTTTCACAAGATATTTAATGGAAAAAAAAATGGATGGAAGGACTATTTCTTTCATAGAAACAAACATTCAAAATGAGAACAAAGTAATTAATTTTGACATAATATGTTTAATTATAATATCCTTTTAAATAATAGAATAATTATTCAATGGAATAAGAAATTGGTAACCTTAAGGTTTAATTGAATTTTCAAATTTACAGTAATTAATTATATGTAATAGATTTCTTTTAAGTTTATAAAAACTAAATTTTTATAAAACGTAAAGGTTAACTATTCCAACTTATGGAATTACTATTCTATGGCTTACTATTTCATTTCCAAAACCAAACAAGTCCTAATAGATTTCTTAGGAACTTGCTATCCTTTTCATATACAGTTTCAATTATCATCAAGCATTTCATAGACACTAAACTGAGCTTGGTGTTGAATTTGAAGGGAAGGAATTAACTGTAACTTTATGGCCAAGTTTGGTTCACTGTGGCATTAGGATTTCATTTTTGTTTGGTTCACATCAAATCCTTTTTTTTTTTCAAATATATTTTTATAGTTGAATTAGAATCACTTGAATTTATATTGAATTGATATATTTGCTTTTAATAAATAATCAACAAATTCTATTCAAGGACAAACTAGAAATAAGATTATTTGGTTTTAGATGTACATTTGCATTTCTATTTTATTTCATTTTCAAGATGAATTAATTCGCTGAATGAGATGCCAACTAAATGTGGTCTGATTAATTTTTTCACTAATTTAAAAAATAAAATATCTCGAGTTCGAGCCCTTTTTACTAGAGTCAAAGAGAGAGATATTCTCTATTGTATAACTCATTATATTATTTAGGCTTATTAGACCTTTCTATGAATTAGGGAAAAAAATTGCTAGCATCACGACAAGAGTGGAAACGCCTGTGGAATGATACAAGGCTATATTTAGTAGGAAAGACTGTGGATGAGATTAAATAATCCATGGATTTGATTCTTGTCTAGCATAATAAAAATAAGGCCTAATAGTAAAAAAAAAAATTCAATTTTAACATTTTTATTAATTCTAGCCAATTCTTTTAATTTTATCAATTAACACCGCATATTTAATTTTTCATATTAATTCATGCCTTCATTTACCATCTGTCAATTTTACATTGACTTGGCTATTATCTCTCACAAGTGGATCCCACAAGATTAAATAGCAATCCCAAGTCATACATGCATGTAAACTGAAAGCTCATCCAACCTAGGCATGGCCACTGATTTGGTTCGAAGAGTTGGACTAAAACCAAATCATTTTGTAGATGAATCAGAATCAGACTAGAAGCATCAGTCCAAAGTTTTGAACTGAAGCCGGCAGTTCACAAGCCAATTAAGATACATGTGAATGTTAAATTATGAACAATCAATGTGAAAATAGTGATTCTGGTTCAGGTTAAACTAGAATCGTCGGTTCAAAGTTTTAAACTGGAACCGGCAGTTCACAAGGCAGTTAATATTCACATGAATATTAAAATATGAACCTGAACTAATTCGGAACAGGCAACTCCGATCCAGTTCGACTGGAAATTTTTAAATTTTATTTTCAAAAATTTATAATCACTTAGCTTATTCTATACACCTCTAAAAGTCTGCATGATACACTTTACTTAGAAATTAAAAAAGTAAAAAAATAAAATAGTAAAACAAGTGAAGTATTTAGTCTAAAGTTATATTTGTATGATACAAATGAGAGTTTAACATTTTTTTTTTCCTTTTAAATTTTTTTACTTAGTTCAAAATTACATTGTCTTATATATTTTTCAAACTTTTCTAACAATTTATTTAATTAATAACATTTAGACAAAATAAAATGATAATTTATTTAATTATTTCTATTTGTTTGTAACGTTAATTAATTTTATTTCTTTTATGAATATGAACATTCTAAAAGTTATTTAAAATAAAATTTATTAATTTCTTTTAAATTTACATTAATATTTGGAGGACAGATGTAACTTTGTAATCGATTTTTTTTTTTGAAAAAAATTATACACATATCATTTAAAAACTGATCGAAATCGCTTTGGAATAAAAACTGAATCGGAACCTACAGTTCAGTGGCTGGTTCAAGTTTAATATTTTAAAAATTTTAAACCGCTGATTCCTTGAACCAAAATTGGTGGTTGATTGAATCTACCATGCCTCAACATTAAATACAGTTCATATATATAGTTGATTGAATCCTACCATGCCTCAACATTAATACAGTCATATATATATATATATAATAATAATATTATATATATAACCAACTCTATTACAAACTTTATTGAATAAAGGCTTCCTAAAGCCACATAAAATAAAATCAAACATATATCAAGAATTGGAGATATATAACCAACTCTATTACACTTTATTGATAAAGCTTCCTAAAGCCACATAAAATAAAATCAAACATATATCAAGAATTGGAGTTCTTTAGGGCTGACAATTTACAGTTTGGAATTAGTGCATTATCATTCAGTGCATGGTATGTCAAAAACATGACGTCCTAGATGCACGTGAAGAAGGAATCGACTGTGAGGTTCAATGAACTTGCAGTTGTGGACTTTCAGTGTAGTTTTGTAACGAAAAAGTATTTGTAGTTTAGTGTCCTATTCAAAGCACGTTGATGCCACAACAGAACCTGTGCATTATTCAAAACTAAATCATTTGGCTTACATGAACCAATTGGAACATCTTTTTTCTTTTTCTTTGACTCTTGAAACTATCAATATCATAGATGTTTAAGATTCAAGTCCTGAGGTTAATATATGAAATTCAACAATTAAACCACCTACATATATATCAACAGTCATTGCTATCATACTAAAAAAAGACTTGAGAGAATCACTTATATTCTATTTTTGGAGATGATTTTTCTTTAAGAAAAGGTTAATATCTTATAGACTAATGCTATTTCAACCATCAATATTTGTTATCAATATTGTCTCACCCGACTTGATAATTGTAGTCACATTAATAAAAAAAATTCATTACATATCATCATCTATAATGGAACATGACATACAAATTCGCAAGTGTATGAAAGTGCAACAAATAATAAAGTGTAAGTAGAAAATCGTCCAACGAAAATTATATACAAGTACTAAAATCGCGTTATCCTATTATTATTTAATGACAATAAAGAGAATAATTCTAAGAAATTAATTTAATAGACATAAATATAATAAAAGAGATAATTTGATGAAAAGAAATCAAGAATTAAAAGTTATTAGGGATTTTAATTTTGCTTAATTATATCCAATTTATTCTATTAGTTTAATAATCAATTTTAATTGTTTAAGAAGAAGAAACGATCCTAAAATTGCTAGTAAGCTCTCACGATGTATTATTAGCTATTTTAAATCGGTCTAATTACCTATCTTCCAATAACGCAATTAAACATAGATTAAATTATTAAATTTTATGGTTGTTTATGAATTCATTAACTTATGAAAACCCCATGAGTCAAACCATATAGCTTCCACATCAAAATATTATTTCTATGTAATTTATTACCTTTTTCTTATCGAAAACCCTTCTCTCGATAGTGATTAATGAAATAAATCCATTTAGGGGAAAAACTTTGCTTGGAAGCGTTAAGTTTAATAATAAATTATACCATGAATAAGGAAAAATAAATCTCATATTATAAATTGGAATCGAAATTAAGTTACATCAAATGCTTAATAAAATATTTAGTTCAACATAGCAATTAAATTAAATCCAAATAAATTTGTAATTAAAGGTTCTCATAATCAATATGAATATTGAAAATAAATAAGAATAAGAGTTTAGAATTAAAAACTAGTAAACAAATGGTTTATAGCGTCTTCCTTGAATCTTGATCTCCAACTTGATTGCTTGAAGTCTTGTGAAGAGAAAATGATTTAGAGAATAGAATATGGAATAATGGATGTAATGTGAGTGAATCTCTGTTTGATGTAGAGTTTTTCCTTATATAGACTTCTTAAGGCTTCTTTGAGTTTAATTAGGAAAATTACCTAACTCGTTGAGGAAGAAACAGAATTACAATTAGAAAAATTAAGTTTTGTATTTCTTCCAAATTAATAGTCAAAGTTGATCAATCGGGATGAAACTCGAATTAGATAGTAACTTTGTGGTCTCCATTCTTCCTTATTTGATATTTGGCAAATTCCAAATTAAAACCCTACAAAACCTTACAAATTGATATCAAAACAATAAAGGAAGCCAAAATTAAGAATTAAACAAAATCATTAATAAAACTAAATAAAAACTAATTAAATTAATTAAAAATTTTAAAAATCCTAATAAAATCTATATTAAAAAACTTGTAAAAATAAAGCTTA